TTTTGTGATAGGCTAGAGATCAAAGGTCTCTAAAGGACTGAGATTGGACATTTGCTTTCCATTTCTGCATTGCGCTCGTTGCTGCCTTCTTTTTCAGTGTTCCATTAAGATGTACGATCGCTGACCAGGCTGAGCCATTGGGGCATGTCTGTATTTATTTCCGTGAGTTTATAATGAAACATATCTCTCTGCATCCCTGGCTTTTGCCGGGACCGCGTCTCCTCAAATAGATAGATAATACTGATAATCTAAGCGCATCCTCTTGAGAATTCTGTTTAACTTATTGAAAGTTGAATATCGCTCTTCTTGATCAACCCCTTAATGTTACTGTTTAATTATAATCATGTTCTCAATATCGTCTTCAGTCATTTTCAAACAGATTTCCTCACATTTTTTCCTGATATATTTTTAGGGCATGAGCCAATTGTGGAGAATATTGGCTATCGAAGTCTTTCTATATGTGTAAAACCTAAGTTGCAAGGCTCAAGTCTTACTGAAGCTAGACTGTTTGGGAGCATTAAAAAAAATATATCCTTCTATCACGTGATCGAGATCTCTTTTATTTCTTATCACTTCCTCAATCTTTGGTATTATCCCTACAAATACCATCGGTTATATTGTTATTGTCTACTTATGGCCTTCTTTAATAACAAATGCCTATGCTACAACTACATTCACCTAAGTCATCGGTTATTAATGGAATTACTAATTATGATGTTTAGATATCTATTCTATTTACTGCTCATATTGCTGTTTGCCTCAAGGTCAACTTCGACCTCATTGCTCAATAGCCCAATTATAAGCTTCGCCTATCCCCTAGCAATTTAACTCGACTTATTTTATCCTACCACTATTATATTATCTACCTTGAATTAGATTATAGATAAAATAAAACTCAGTGCCCTTGGTACTAAGCGGCGCGTCTTTGTAGTCGAAACGATGGGCGGATTTTGTGGGTACTTAGCAACAATGAGTGGACTGGCAGGTGGTGCAGATGCTGCTTACATTTTTGAGGAGGCCTTTACAATCGATGATCTCCGCGAAGATGTGGTTCACTTACGTGCCAAGATCGCTGATAACGTTCAACGTGGCCTTGTGCTGCGCGCAGAGAATGCCAACAAGAATTATACTACCCAGTTCATCCATAGCCTTTATACGGAGGAGGGGAAGGGGATTTTCGACTGCAGGTCAGTATCACTTAGTAGATGTTTTTGTTAAGAAAAATAATCCTGGGCACGACTTGGTTGTCTAGCTCTGATTTACTATTCGAATAATCTATTCTTAAAAGTGGTTTGACCTCTTCACTACTTGATTATATCGTCAGAGAGACCTAAATGAACGCATCTCGTCTGGAGTATTCACGATATTTTCCAACGTCGGTGCATTGACAGACTTTTGGTTAGCATCTACAGTGAACTTTGCCATTCTTAGCACCTTGCTACAATTCATGAATTTACCAGGACACACGGAGAAATACCAAAACTATTTAGCGGATAGTTGGTAAGAGAATGGACTTCACTTGTCACCTTGGTGCTAAGACTTACAAGGCCCTTTGACGATGTCGGGGAAACGTCAAGGAATGTACCACGTCTACTATTCGACGTTGGAAATTATAATGGATGTCATGGAAGAGGATTCTGATCAAGATGCGTTCATATAGTTTACTTTGACAATATGATTAAGTTGCGAAAACTGAATCAAACCACCTCTAAACGACAATAGGAGACATACTTAATGTCACATTATCTTGGTCTTCACACCTTTAATTATATAAGACTTAAATTTTCCTGGTATATTTGGTGTACATAAGATTCATTTGTATGCCTATGTACTGGTTTATTGATGTTTGTTAGAATGCATCAATGATTATTA